TCAAACAAAGCATTTAGGGTTTATTAAAAGAAGTTTCTATAAATCAAATAAGAACATAAAACTAAAATGTTATTTAACCTTGGTTAGGCCAATAATAGAATATACATCCGTAGTTTGGGACCCTCAACTCAAGAAAACATTAAGAAACTGGAACAGACACAAAATAGAGCAGTGAGATTCATAACAAAGATTCATAGAGTAATACCTTTAGTAAAATCACTAAATTTAGAAAGCCTTAAGGACAGAAGACTCAAAAGTAAAGTAGCAATTATACATAAACACTGAACCATAATCTTCAAATACAAAAACAAAATTTAATAAAATTCTCTGAAAGACACAAAGATAAAGGCACATTCCTCGTTCCATATGCTAGGACAAATTGGTACAAATACTCCTTCTTCCCTAGTGCTATTAGAGCATGGAATGGGTTGCCTGAGCTAGCCAGGAAAACCAGTGACTTGGCAGAATTTAGGTCATTGGTTAATATGCATGACTAAATGCATGACACGTAGGACGTAATCATCTTCTTTTTTGAAGTAACGTCTGTATTATATAAGATAAGAAGAGTAATAAGAAGATTGCTTGATTGATTCGTGTATCGACAATTATAATGTTGCATTGCAGTTTCAACTTCATCCGAGAAAACAAAAATGTAAAACAATCATGACAGACAGACAGACGGATTCAGTTAATACAAGTTTTGTAAAAAAAAAAAAAAAGAGTGATACTCACAGTTTGAAGACTTTGCCAAAAAAAAATTAAAGTTTCTGTTAATTATATTTGATTGGTTCACACAATAACATCATGTTGGTGAATGCCCCGTTACCCGTTGGGTTGCAATTTTATAGAAATAACGTGAAAACGTTTTACATAACCAAATGACATAATGGTTAAATTTAGACAACGTTACGATGCAGCTTTTTTTTTCAATGTTATGATATTGTGTGTATTAGTGACAGAGGGGGCCGAATAAAAGGCGAGAGATAAGGCATTTTTTTCCTCTGTACACTGCACTTTTACACAAACACAGATTTCAATAATATATATGCCTATTCCTAAATTAAAGACGTGTACAAATCGGCTACATTTAGTTCTAAAAAAAATGTCCACGTAATAAGACCAACTAGATCAGCGGTTCTCAACCTTTTAAGCTCGGCGACCCCTTTTTTACAATCCCCCGCTCTGCCGCGACCCCCCCCCCCCCCGACATACAGCAATAGAAGAGTAGGCAATAACAATCCATAGTTTCGATGGTCTTAAACGACCCCTGGCAAATGGTCAATCGACCCCCAAGGGGGTCGCGAGTCACATGTTGAGAACCCCTGAACTAGACGAACTGATAAAAGTCAAGTCTAAGCTAGAGCTACGTAAACAGATATCTACAGCCAAGTCTCCACCATTTGTCACCCTCGACGTTTCACCAATGAAATAGATTTCTTTTTATTAGAAAGATTCATTTCCATTAATAAAATAATAATAATAATAATAATATACCCCATTGTTATATCAACCGAGGGGATAGTAACAACTGACTTCACAGATACTTTCAAGGCCCTTAACATTTCTAGGAGCATCCTCGTTGCCTGTCAGAGGGCGGTACTGCTGCAGACCTGCCACATCGCCAGAAAATTCCTCAGTGGAAGCTGTTAAAGGGACTATGATGAATTTTGTTTCTCTTTAACGAAACTCGACCCTGGCAGCTCCAGAGAATGACTACTCGTTCGTTTCTAACATAATAATAATAATAATAATAATAATAATAATAATAATCTATATTATCCATAAGGAAATTTGTCTTACAATTAGTGCACAACACCAAACAAAACATAATTATGGAAAACCAAAATGTACATTCACACCTGACTCACTCATAATTTACATGTGAAAACTTGCGTTGCTTAGTTTGAGATCTGTTGTGTATTCCTCGTCATAGCTACTCAGGTTAGTGCTGGATGTAAGTTAAAGGTTACATAAGGATCTTACCTATGCATCATTAATTTTAGTATGTCATACATTTAGAGTCGTTTCCCTTATTTTATATGCATATTTTTTAAATGTATACACGTAGAGACTCTGGCTGCTTTTTACAAAGCTTATATCAACTCACTTTGTCTGTCTGTGTGTCAGTCTGTCTGGTCAAATGTTTGTACACGTTATTTCTCCCACACCCACTCTCGGATCAAGCTGATATTTCAGCTTGCAGTTAATTCTTTTACCTGACAACACATGAATTAATAAAAAAAAAACAAGGTTACAACCACAGTTTGTGTGGAAACACAAACTCAAAATCGGCCCCCCCAAAGTGGTCCACCCAGGCAGTTAAAAAGGCAGGTTTCAATATTTTCAGAAAGAATAAAATTATATTAAAGGCGAATGACAGAGAAGAATAGAGAAAGAAGGTTTATAATAATAATGATAATTTTATTTTAAAAGCGCTGTTAAGAAACAAAATGTAGGGTCAAGGTGCTGTGATAACATTGCACGACAGCCAGAATGACAAACTAATCTAAAAAAGTTTTAAACAGATAGGTCTTAATGTCCTTCTTTAAAGTGGTGTAGCATGTTGTCTGTCTGAGTGAGTGAGTTCCAAACCTTTGGTCCGTGCACTGAAAAAGCCCACAGACCGTAACTTTTGAGGGAGAAACGTGACACTACTAAAAGCGTTGAGTCCATTGAGCGAAGGGCTCTCTGGGGGACATATGGAGTAATCAGTTCTCTAAGGTACAGGGGCATTTCATTGTTATATATACACTGATGACAAAGTGTGGCGACCTTGTAATCGATTCTCGCTTCCACGGGAAGCCAGTGGAGCGTGCGCAAGAGCGTAGTAGCAGAATCTCGTCTTGTTTGTCTAAGGACTATTCGTGCGGGGTTGTTCTGTATTCGTTGCAGCTTGGCTATTTTGTCATCAGGTATAACTGCTAGCACGGCGTTGCAGTAGTCAAGGCGGGAGAGTATGAATGCCACAGCTAGCGCTTTTGTTGACTCCGTTGTTAAATATGGTCGGATCTGGCCTAATCTGCGCAGCTGCAGATAAAGACCCTTGCAGAGCAGACTTATGTGTGGGTCGAAAGATAGTGTTGAGTCGAAGAAAACTCCAAGATTCCGCACTGCATAGACATAAGAAAGCTGGCAGTTCGTAATAAAAAGACAATCTGTGCTTTCAACTTTCGAGACGTTGTTCCGAGTGCCAATCTTAATTATTTCTGTCTTGTCTTCGTTCATCTTATTTTCAACCATCCAATCGCTCACCCTTGCAACGGTACTACTGATTTTCTCTGCCAGATGCGACACCTCTGAGGGTACTGAGGAATCGTATAACTGTGAGTCATCGGCAAAGAAATGGTATAAGATGCCGGTTAGCTGTATGACACCGCTGAGTGGATGGATATGTATACATAGTGAACAGTACTGGGCCTAGAACTGATCCTTAGGGTACTCCGTACTTCAAGCGCAAGCTTGTTGATTCTGTCCCGTTAACAACGACACAGTCAGGTAGGATCCAAGCCACTTTAGGACGATTCCTGCGAAACCAAAAGTGGCAGAGAATCTGGCCATCATAATTTCATAGTCTAGCGTATCAAAGGCTGCGGACAAGTCCAGCATGGAAAGAATTGATATGTGACCTTTATCGGAATTGTGAAGTAAGTCGTTTAGTACCCTGTCCACTGCTGTCTCCGTGCTACAGCACTTCCTATATGCAGATTGAAATTCCTCCAAGAGATAGAACTGTTCAAGATGAGAAAGAATTTGCGCTAACACGATGCGCTCTAGAAGCTTTGACAGGAAGGGAAGATTTGATACCGGGCGATAGTTTTTTAGACATTCCGGTTCAAGAATGAATTTCTTTAATAAAGGCCTGACAAGTGCATGCTTGACAAATCCTGTGTGGTGCCCCAACGGTCCAGAAGACCAAGGGATAGGTGAAAGTGAAGGTAAAACTAGATGTGAACCTGGCCTAACTGATGTCATATAATGAATATCTAATTTATCTAATTGTTTTGTAAAGGGTCGATTTTTTTAGAAGTATGTCGTGTTGCTCTTTAGTTCACGCGATAATATGAAAAGTACTTATTAATTGTTGTTTAAAATTATGTTCTACTTATAAGCATATTACATATATTTTTTTCTCCTTAAAAATGTAAACATTTTTTTGTTAATGTAATAATTATTTTGACAACTTAATTAACTTAGCAATACGTTTGCAAAAAAATATAAATCTAAAACAGTTTGCATAAGTGTGCTAGAGGTATGTTTAAATGTAAACTCCCTCACAAAATAGCCACAAGTATCTGTAACATTTAATAGTGAGTAGTTGTAAAAATGGTATATTTTTATTTTTAAAAAAATGCTCGCATAAGTGATTTTAAAAATTAAATTTTTCGCTTTCAGCAAAGAAAAAAGTAGCCGTTGCATCAGAACTTTGAATGGTCTAAAATATCATGATGTCGGATTTTCAATATCTTTTCTAGTTTACGAGATCGAAATGGGTTGACGGACGGACGGGCAGACAAACCACACAAAACTAATAGCGTCTTTTCCCCTTTGGGGGCCGCTACAAATTAACCAATTAAATAATTAACTATTGGTAATAAATTACTTTGTTTGGTATCTCAAACAAGGGAAAGAAATAGTACTTGACTGAAGTGGTGGTATACGCTAAATTTGTCCCATTTATAGATTGTCGTCTGAGGCTTATTATAAATGTAATTACATGAGTGATCTAAACTAATTGATACACTTAATATAAGCATAAAAGCTTTTATTTTTTTAAGGTTGTTTTTTTTCTTCAACTTCTAAAAATAACTTTTTTTTTTGTTGCCCATACCTTTATTTCTAAGTTCTAAATGGGACGGTCGGACGGACATACAAAACGAACAGCTGCTTTCCCCCCCCCCCCCCCCCCACACCAATTTAGTTACTGCTAAAAAAAACAAAAACATCTTGTAGTGTTTGAATAAAATTTTTATTTGAAATTATAACAAATATTTATAAAAATATTTGCCACTATAAAAATCTCTCCAAAAAAATCTCATAAAAATTGTAAAATTTAAAAAAACAGGTGTACATATTTTTTATATAAAACAAAAATTATTTCAATTATTACAATGTTTTGATTTTAATCATTCATTTAAAACAAATAGGCAATTAGTTCTGTAGTGTATTTAAATGGGAAATCTCAAGTTTCATTCTTGAAAAAAAAAAAACTTAACAACATTCAACATTTCTGGACATTAAAACATGTTTGATTACATTTCAAGTTTATACATTAGAATCAAAGTTGACAATTAAAGCTACAAAATTAGAACTGAAAAAAATTAAACAGCTGGAATTTCTTAATTGTTATTCATTCTATATAGTAGAGATCCAAAATAAACCAAAAGTGATATTGAGACTTGTGGTTATAGAAGTTCTCTGTGTAAAGACTCGGATACAGGCCACAAAATGGTTTACAACTTTAAGTACATTCGATCAGTAATACTATAAGGATCTTTACATTTCATCAAAGCTCTATTCAGACCCAAAACAGTATAACCAGCCCAACAATGTCCAGTGCGATTCTGGGTTTTAATTTGTTCTTTAGTTCTTGATCATTTCCCCGAAAGTTGTTTTCAATATAGAATGAGAAAACGATTGTTGTTTTCTTGGGGGGGGGGGGGGGGATCTGTTTATTTTTCTTATATTTGTTTTGGACGGATGTGCTTATAAGTGAAGTTTTAAAATATACCGAGATCTAGATAGGAAAAAAAAAGAATAAATGTACTGCGAACGACAAGCGCTAATGGAATGGAAAATTTGATCAGTTATCTTAAGTCAAATATCTGATACTCTGAAGTAAATTTAAACAACTTTTGAAAGTCGTAATATTATTCTAGCGTCGTTCAAACCCTATTTTGGGCAGTCGTAGAGTGCAAGGCGCTCTGTATTTCGTCCATGTCTGATACTTTTTATTCAATTCCTCGCCCTGAGGGCGCCAGTCTGAAGTGGGTGTGCAGGAAATCTTCAGTCTCTGAAAAGAAAAGAAAAACTACAAGCATAAGTAAACAGAATAACGTGAATAATGTTTTTTGTTAATTGTGTATAGACTTATTCTTTCTGTTTGGTAAATGTGAAGATGTTAGATTTTAATTATTTATCTCATTATATAAAAGTAAAGCAAAGCTCCCCTTTCAGACCTTGCGATCTATAGGGCAGATAATGTAAAGGTCTAGTAGTAAATTATATGAAACTAGTCGACCCACGACGTAGCATACGCCTCTATTTAGTGATGGGTGAAGACAGTTAAAAAGAAGGAAACTCTGGAGAGAGCAACATACAATTGTCCACGACTGAAAGCAGGTTTTGGAAGATACAGGCATGTCTTTTTGAACGTTTGGCATTGTGCCTTAATCATTGTCATGGCAACGGCTAATCTAACAGGGAATTATCTGCGGATAAAAATAAAAGGCAAATTTGAATCTGATGTTTATGAGGTAGCAGCTGCGATAGTTTTACACTTCAGTACGTTGCGGTGAATGCAACTGCTAAATAGCAGGGATATGGAGAGATGTTGACCCGGATGTAAACTCGAGGCGGGTCATGCTGAAGTGAATAGTGATAGTAGCGGGAAGTATTTGAGACATCGCCACAATTTCAGCCTCGCCACCATAAACGCCGGAAGTATTCATGTAGGCAGCGTATTGTCGAGAATCGAGTAGGGATGACAATTTTGTCTATTTTTCAAGAGATTTTGATGAGTTTTCATTAAATTTTAATAATTGCAGGAGATTTCTAGGAGCTCCTGGGAACTCAGGAAGCCGCGGGAAACCTGTTATACGATATACTTATTAAATATAATAATTTACATTAAGAATTAGCGCGGGGCCAATTAAAGTGTTGGACCCACTGCGGCTGCCTAGGTTGAAAATGGCTTAAGACCGACCCTGCATACATCCTATAACCACGAGGAAAGGAGAGCGGATGTTTGACTGTGTAGGCTGAGTTGGATTTTGCTAAGCCTCTAAAAGCTGCTCAGATACTTGTTTTATATTCCATATGTCACAAAAGAATCAACAAATATGCAAGAATGAAGTGTATTATAGTAAAAAAAAAAAAAAGCATTATAAAGCTATAACCTGCATAGGCGTCCCTTTGGTGGTAGTCAACATGAAGCCAGAGTAGAAGGGAATGGGTAGAAAAGGGAAACAAGCGATGATCCATCCAAACATCTCCGCCCCGCTACCGTAAACATAGCCTTCATAGACAGGGGGCTGGTAGGTCAGTAATGTGATGATCAAAATAATCTGTGAAGAGATTAATAAGTTAGCGCTCTATCTTCTAAGGAAATCTGTTTGGTTCGATTCCTTAAATACTTCAACTTTATGTTTTTACTAATGGGCAGTAGCGATATAAAATCTAGGGATAGTCTCAAAGTAGCTGAGAACCACTTATCTCAAGAGGAAGTAACTCTGTCACATGTTTTATGTGGGAAAAAGCTCTAATTAAAAAATTGTAATTAGCCAAACATGCTAATAGGTTATTTAATTATGCAAATATGAAATTTTACGTTAAAAAGGTTAGCATTATGAGAGTCTAAAATACAAAAAATATTGTTAATACAATAAATTGAAAAACAATTTAATGCATGTAATATATCTGTTTTTGTTTGTACCCGAAACCTATATATAGCATGATAAAGTCTGCGCTGCTCATGCTCTCCGTATTAGTATATTTTCATCCCATATCATGGTATATTAGTGCTCTTTAGCAGTAATATTGTGAACGTAGACTAAAAAATTGTGCAAGGTGCTTAGCAGACGCAAAGAGAGGAATTTGATTAATTACAAAGATTATATCATTTCACTCCGACTGTCTGTCAGTCTGTCTGTCTGGTACAACATTTGAACACTTTATTTCTCCTTATTTCGCATTCTCGGATCAAGTTGAAACTTTGCACAATTATTTATTGCTCCCAACAAAGCATGGAGAATTTTTAAAAAAGTAAAATTAATAAATGAATTAAGTAAAGTAAATGCTCCTTCCAGACCTTGCGGTCTGTAGGGCAGAGCTCAGCCACCGCGCCTCCCAATAAATGAATTAGTGATAACTTTTTTTTTGATAATGGAAAAAATGGAAACAAATCTTACACTATTGAGATATATTGCTGTAGATGTGAAGTTCTTCCCCTTACAAAACATTTTTTTAAAATTACTATTTAAAGTTTTTGTAAAACAACAAAAAAACTACAAATTTTGTTTCATTAGCATCATCATCTTTCTTTTGAGTTCCTCATGGAACTCATAGGGTCTTAGTAAAAACACGCCACTCTCCACGGTCTCTTGCTAGTTTTTGAATGGCTTCCCAGCTCTTTTTTGTCCTCTCAGCTTTATCTAGTACACTGCCATGTTCTTTTTGGTCTTCCTCTACGTCTTGTGCCCTGGGAGTACCACTCTAAGGACCGCCTTGACATTAAAAATTCTAATTTTAGTCTTGTAACGACAGCTCCGTATTTTTCCATTTGATACAAGAACGAAAACTTAATACTTTACCATTAGTAACACAGGAACGACTACTCTCCACAAAATCTCAAAAATGTATGGTGGTCTTTTGCCACACATAAAATGTAGGTCGTCTAGAAACTGCCCAGCTCCTGGTGAGTAAAGATTATTTTTAAGAACAACAATGACACACAGGTCTAGGACTTTAACAAAATTATTCTTTAATTAGCTTTACTTATTCTTCATTCTCTAAACGTAACAAATTTATGCAAAGAAAGACCTATGTCAAAATAGAAGTGTATATAAATCAAATTTTGTCACATGCATTAAAGAGGGATGGGTTGTTCACAGTGAAATAGAACAGTCTGAGTCTGTTCTTATGTCTGGTAAAACATAGTTTATTACTATTATAATATTTTTTAAAATAATCAGGACAGAAGACTCAAAAGTAAAGTAGCAATTATACATAATCCACTGAGCCATAATCTCCAAAAACAAAAAAATTAATAAAATACTCAGAAAGACACAAAGATAAAGGCACATTCCTTGTCCCATATGCTAGGACAAATTTGTACAATTACTCCTTCTTCCCTAGTGCTATTAGAGCATGGAATGGGTTGCCTGAGCTAGCCAGGAAAACCAGTGACTTGGCAGAGTTTAAGTCATTGGTTAATATGCATGACTAAATGCATGACGCGTAGAACGTAATAATCTTCTTTTTTTGAAGTAACGTCTGTATTATATAAGATAAGAAAAGTGTAGGGTAATTATTTTTCAATTGTTTATGATTTAATACTTGTGAATTATGAGAACTTAAAAATAAAAATTAAAAAAAAAGCCCACAAAAGAGGCAAGAGGGTCAAAAAAAGAGGCCTAAGGCCCAAGGATTCCTATGATGATAAAGCTAAAATTGAATAGCGCAAATTCTGATGTTTCCTAAAACAGGAGAATGCACGATTCCATACTTAAACTTTATGTACCAGTTATAGTGAATTCTATAGGCGTTAAGTGATAGTAATCATTAGATCATTGAATAGTGACCTATTTTGCGCCATTTCCGTCACTCCCTAACTATTAATTATCTACTAGCACAGTGATGTCCAAAGTACGGCCCGCGGGCCGGAACCGGCCCGCGACTTGGTTCCATCCGGCCCGCCGAAACGTCGGCACAAAAAGTAGAAAAAAGTTCAAAATGTATCTTTATCTTCGTTAGGGCCCACACTTTGTCTATGATGAATTGGTACCTTGACGTTTACCGAGAGTGCGATTGTGAGTTTATGAAATGGAACTCTGAATGTAGAATCTACCCCGGAAAAGTGAATGTATCTTTTTGTGGAACATGATAATAAGCCAACATATTTTGTGTGTAAAGAAAGTCTGGCTGTTTCAAAAACAACAACATATACAATGGCATTTGAGCCGCGTATAAAAGATTGGTTAAACTACGCCAAGAGATCTGAGGGTCGATGGGAATATTTACCAAAAAGAGACAAGAAAATAAGTTGGTGGTAAAAGTAGCTACAATGTTGCTTAAAATAGTACAGAAATGAAGCCATTTTAGACGCGTAAAGTAGCAGCTGCGTACTAGATCCAATAGTTTCAAATAGTTTCAGGTGAATTTTGATTTAATTTTTGTGTACCTTTTTGATGATGTGGCCCGCTACAAGCGTATCGAAAGTTAAAATGGCCCGCGGGTCGAATTACGTTGAGCATCACTGTACTAACATATTCATATAAACTATACAGTGCCACGACTCGGTGCTACACACCACCTTCAACAATGCATCCCCCCCCCCCCAAAAAAAAAAGACAGGCCTAACTCTTTCTCTCCTAACTGACGATACCAGCGTTGATTCCACCAGAATGTGGTAAATAATTACGGATTGAAAGAGTTAAAGCTTTGGTGTATCAACGACTTCCGCCCCAACGTGAAAGCAGAGAAGCAACAGAACTGTGCGTCATGGGCGGACCACTATGTGATAAGCGCCCCCGCGCTGCTTCCTATGTAGATAAATCTAAACCAGTGATCCCAAAGTGGACTATATAGACCGCAGGGGTCTACGACGAACTGCAGTGGGTCTACAAGAGTGAAAAAATGAGTATATGAAATGTAAACGGGGGTCTACGATAGTGGATCACATTTAAGCAGATCTAGGCTATAACCTTGCCTGGAAAAGACCAATT